GAGGAAGGTATTAATGACTTATTTTTGAAGAACTGAAGGTGTCACCAGGTTGTCATGTTGACGACATGACATTGTGTCAACAACACAGGAGGAAAGGCAATAATGACTTATTTTTGAAGAACTGAAGGTGTCACCAGGTCACCATGTGTCACCAGGTCATTTAACTTCTTTAAAAAATAGTGACAACATGACATTTTGACAACAACACGAGAGGAAGGCAAAAATAAATTCCAATCATACTTTATAAAGCATCATTTACAGGTATTTCATCGTCAGTAAATGAATCCTCATTATCGTTTAGTTCAACCTGTTTATTATAATCCTTTCATTTCTTCTTTCAAAAACATAACACCATGTTTGTTTACCATCTATTCTTATCTGTTTCCTATCACATTTATCCTTAATACTCATTTGAAAGTTTTTGTCTTTCATGTCTGATGGTTTGCAGAATAGAGCATTTTTACACGTCATACCTGCATTCAATTCATCATAATGTGTATTTATCCATACATCTAAAGGATTTGTTGATAATTCAATTTAAATCTTGTTTGGCTTCAGTCATCGGAATGATTCGTACATTAAATGATGAAAGGTCATATTGCATAAAATATGTTAAAAGGTTATCATAAAATTCCTTTGTGCATGAATCCATTAAATTCTTTGAAGTAATCAAATTGACCCTTGAATTTACCATTAACTCTTAAAACTACATATCTTCTGTCTCCAACTTCAATTTTGACAGCGGTAAACGTTATTAGTTACAAAATGAAGTTTGCAACGTTCTGAGCAGTTCTTCTGGGTTGATTCTTTTCATTAATTCTAATCTCATTATCCGTAATAATTGATTTCAAAGCGTTGAAGTTTGCGAGTCTGTCTTCACCTACATTCTTGAGTTCATTAAGTACAAGAAACATTTTATTTTCAACTACTGAGTTGAAATTACCCGTTAACTCACTTATTTCAGTAATGTTTTTACATGAATAACCAGCGAGAAGTTCAGAAATAATGTCTGTGAATCTGTTTTTACCTGTTCCCTGAAGTCCTTTCAAAATAATTGCTGTTTCATTCTTGATTCCAGGATGTTGAATCATTGATGCAATCCAGCCGAGTAGGTATTTATACACTTCATCGTTATTATCACAAATGGCTTCTTTAATGAAATCCATAAACATCTCAATTTTTGAGTAATCAAGCTTTTCAAGAATGTTGTTTTATAACCTTGAAACGTTGAGAAAACATCTGGGGAATCAGATTTAAAGCAAACACCCTTAACGGTTAATGAAGACAATTGATTTTTGTAGTACGTCCCATGCTGTTATTGTTTTACCTTCTTCATTAAATAATTTAATCATTTTGAGTGACTCTTTCATGTTTTGACTGAAGAACAAATGATATTTGATTCATTTTGTCGTTGGATATTATAGTCCTTTTGAATGAAATATTTGTTTCCACACAATCTTACAAAACGGATTACACGTGATAAATCCTCAATTACTTCAGAACTGTTTTTATACTGATGATTTTCAGCCTTGCGTCTAATATCTGTTATCAAAAACGAGTCATCAAGTTTTATATCAAATGTTATTTTTGGCTTACGTAATAAAGGCAAAACATATTCATCATAATATTCCTTTTGATAAAGTTTTAGAATCTTCACCAAAACAAATGGAGAAGTCATTAAATATGCATATCTATCACGTGCTTTTTCAAAATTACTTTTTGCATTTTCTGTTAAACTGCAGAAGTTATAAACGTTATCGTAGGCTTCATTAATTAAATGATTAGGTAACGAATTAATAGCTTGAAACAGTGTGAATAATGTAACTTCTTTTTCTAAATTCATGTTTCCACCATCATTATGTACTTCAAAATCACAGATGCCATCAACTATGCTCTGGGCAAGTTTATCGTCAATGTTTACATCTTTGTTTTCATTCATTATATTCTTTATTTCTTCATTCTTCTGTTCAACTCTTACCTTAATATTCAAATCATTTAATATATCATTCACTGTTCTAGTTAATGTTGAATCATAACTTCCACGAATGAATGAGTATGTATTGATTGGTTCTGTTGCATTCTTGCGAACTCTTGAATCAGCCATAACCACTAAAGAACGTTTTGAATCATCCATAGAAGTCATTATGTCAATATCATAATCATTGCAGGAATAACATTTAATCATTCTGTTCGAGGTTGAATAGAAGAAATTAGTGTTGCAATAAATGTGAAGACCTCCTGAAGCGGTTTTAACGATAACATCTTTATCCGAAAGTTTTGATAAAATGTCTTTTCTAACTGTTTCTTTAAGTTCATCATTGTATGATTTATTGATATCAACATCTATAATCGTTAAATTCGAAATTTTATTTACTAATAAAGCTGTACCAGTTTTCCTTCCTCTTCCTCCATCATATTTGAGGTAGTTATGTAAATCAATCTTGTTTTCATTAATTCTTTCGTTGAGGGTTTTAGTTTCTGCCACAACTAATTCCTCAACTAATGAATCAATAACTTTTTCATCAGAAACGATAAAGTTGTTGTTGTTGTTTGTTGCTGTCATTTATATAGGAATAAAAAAATAAAAATAATTTTAAAACTAACCTTATTTTTGGGCTGCATCATATTTCCGTCACTGTTGTCAAAATGTCATGTTGTCACTATTTTTTAAAGAAGTTAAATGACCTGGTGACACATGGTGACCTGGTGACACCTTCAGTTCTTCAAAAATAAGTCATTATTGCCTTCCTCCTGTGTTGTTGACACAATGTCATGTCGTCAACATGACAACCTGGTGACACCTTCAGTTCTTCAAAAATAAGTCATTATTGCCTTCCTCTCGTGTTGTTGTCAAAATGTCATGTTGTCACATTTTTCAGAGAAGTTAAATGACCTGGTGACACATGGTGACCTGGTGACACCTTCAGTTCTTCAAAAATAAGTCATTATTGCCTTCCTCTGTGTTGTTGACACAATGTCATGTCGTCAACATGACAACCTGGTGACACCTTCAGTTCTTCAAAAATAAGTCATTATTGCCTTCCTCTCGTGTTGTTGTCAAAATGTCATGTTGTCACATTTTTTCAGAGAAGTTAAATGACCTGGTGACACATGGTGACCTGGTGACACCTTCAGTTCTTCAAAAATAAGTCATTATTGCCTTCCTCCTGTGTTGTTGACACAATGTCATGTCGTCAACATGACAACCTGGTGACACCTTCAGTTCTTCAAAAATAAGTCATTATTGCCTTCCTCTCGTGTTGTTGTCAAAATGTCATGTTGTCACTATTTTTTAAAGAAGTTAAATGACCTGGTGACACATGGTGACCTGGTGACACCTTCAGTTCTTCAAAAATAAGTCATTATTGCCTTCCTCCTGTGTTGTTGACACAATGTCATGTCGTCTCATTTTTTAAAGAAGTTAAATGACCTGGTGACACATGGTGACCCCCCCTCATTTATTCAAAAATTCTGTAATTTCATTAATGAGGTATGCTGAATTGGAGCTCAGGACTTTCAATCCGTGCGAAACCATGCATAAACTGTCATATAAGGCGGCATGTAATCTTTACTCTGTCCCGTCGTTTGTGTATATCCTGAAACATTATGTGTATGATTACCTGAACCCTGTGTATCGTTCCAGTAACAATTAATAGCAAATTTAACGTCATCTTTAACATCATATCCTTTACCTTTTGTCATTCCTGACCAATCCCAATATCTATGCTTATGCCATCCTGCTTCGGTTGTGTTTAAATTAACGTAATGACTGTGAGCAGGTAAATTTTCGCCCATAATTGTTTTACTTCCACCGGTTTGTTTTGATGAGTTTGTACAATATAAAAAACGATCGGTTATCTGCTGCCATGTACCAAATCCAAATAATGTTGATGGATTTGTTGAATTCATTGATGTATATATTGAACCAATGGGGTAAATCATTTCAAACATTGTATTTAACTCAGTATTAACCCATTCCTTATCTGCTTTCTTCTTTAACTCAGTATTAACCCATTCCTTATCTGCTTTCTTCTTTAACTCAGTATTAACCCATTCCTTATCTGCTTTCTTCTTTAACTCAGTATTAACCCATTCCTTATCGCTTTCTTATTTAATCCATTATGAATATTGAATTTATTATATAATATTGAAATCGTGTAAGAAGTTAAAATTGGTATTGTCATCAATATTAACATATTATTTTTGAAAATTGCTTTTTTAACATCTTGAAATTTTGTGATTTCAGACCAATTTTTTCCATCACTACTGATATTTACTAAATCACCACATCCAAAAGCAATGAAATACCCATCAATATAAAACAAATTTGTAAATCTATAATTTCGAGTAAATTTTGGAGTGAATGAATAAACCAATTCCCAATTTGGTGTTTTCTCTGGATCCTGTGAAAAATCTTGTGATAAATAAATATGTCTGTTATAACTTACAGGATATGAATACAACATACTACCTGAAACAAGAACACAAACATTTGAAGCATAACATAAAGCTTCAATGTCTCCATCAGCTTGAAAAATTTGTTCAAAACGACCAAATGGTATTGAATATGATCTATAAATTTTATCATTTTGTAGGATAAAACACATGTTGTTAATGTAATACCATTTACTTGTATAATCAATTTTCAAATCTGATGACATCATACTAAACATATAATAATTTATCCCATCCTCACTAATGAAAATTTGATTGACTTCATAAATTAGTACCCATTTATTATTAACACATCTAATAGGATTATTTGGATATTTAAATTTAACATCTTGATTTAAATTACATTTGAACCATTGGATACAATCGAATGAATAACAAGGGCAAAAATCATCTCCAACCGTTATCATTCCCATAAATTTGCCGTTATTATATTCAACATAAAAAATTCTTGGATTAATGATTGGCTCTCGTGTATCAGGATTCAAAACGGATGGAGTAAATGATTCATAGTTTTTAAAATCATTTGTTTTAAAATAATAAAGCACTCCGCCTGTATAAAATAAATACATGGTCACTCCATCGAAACATAACCATTCAATATCTTCAAATGTTTTATCTGATGATTTCATAAAATTTAAAAATGGTGGGGTAAAATAGACCTCCGATTGTTTTATTTCTTCATTAACAAATGATATATCAGCTTTCTTTGCTAACTCAGTATCAACGTATTCCTTATCTGCCTTCTTATTTAACTCATCGTTAACATAAGTTTTATCTGCTTTAAGGTCTAAACATCCTGAAACCCATCCTGTATCAGCTTTAGTTTTTAAAATCTTTGATGTCCGTTCATGATACCATTCAACCCTTTCTATAATTTCATTATCTTTTTCATCCACATATTCCTTATCTGCCTTCTTCACTAACGCACTAGCCACATATGCTAACTCATCGTTAACATATGTTTTATCTGCCTTCTTCATTATGTCATTTAGGAAACCTTTTATGAATTCCTCATTTAAATTAAATCTTCCAATCTTCAAAACTTTAGGAAATGCATTTAATGCGTAATATCTCTGTTCTTCTGGTGGAATTGATGTTATATCATCCGTTATACCTTTAATTTTTGAATTCATAAATAAAATTTCTTTTATATTTGATATCACCGCACCACCTTTGCAAACGAATTCAAAATGGTCATTTTTCAATACTATCTCCAAATCTCCATATTTCAACCTTTGCGTTTGTTCTGCCGTCTTTGAATTATATGCATATGTGGCGTATGTAATGGTCTGTGGTTGCTGTTGTTTAATCATTTATTACGATTTAAAAATAAATATTTAATCCGTTATCTCATCAGCTATTTTTTCTATTTGAAATTGCCATAATATTTCATTCATGAATTCTAAATCACAATCAAATAGGTCAGTTATTCTAAATTTAATATTTGATAAATCTTTTGAATGAAGAATAAATGAATTCCCGGATAATTGAAATGGATATGATAAAGAAAATATGTTTAAGTTGATGGATAAAATGTTTTGTATTGATGGGTAAGAGTTAGGGTCTAATGTTTGATGTGAAAATCTCATTGGGGTATTAACTTTATCACATTTGATTAAAATGAAATTGGAACCAGTGTCAGAATACAAAACATCCCCAACATCTTTTTCAAAATTTAATATCCCCAACAATGAACGAAGACGAGGAGTACAAAATTTAATTTTCAGCGGAAATTTAATAAGGTTATTTATTTCATCAAGTTCAAAAAGTTTATCGGTTTTGATTTAAAATTTTCTTCATACCATACGATAAATGATTCATTTAAATAACTTAAAATTGTGTTAATATCCCATTTCACTATCACATTATTTATATACATATCATACGTTTTTTCATGGTCATCTTTAATAAATGATATATAATCTGAAGGGTCTAAAAGAATGGGATTAAATTTACCACTCACAGAAACGAGAGTAACATTATAAATTCCACTAACTGTTAAATTTAATTCACAGTATTATTCGAAATAATATTGATAATTGACATTTTTTATTACGATTAAAAATATGGTAAAGCGTTATTTTCCAGTGATAAATAAAACTAGAATAAGATTACCTCAAGAATTCATAAATTCAACGAATAAGAAATTCATTCATGTTATAAATTTTAGTGTTTTCAGAAAATATGAGTCGATGTCATATTCATCATCAGGTTATATTTCACTTCATTCAAATTTAGTTCAATCAAACCCATATAATGACCATTTCATAAGATTTTCAGATGGTATTAAAAATGTAATTGATAGATTAAAATATGAACAGATTGACAATATCGAATTTTTGGAATTTTGGTTTAAATATCCCGATGGAAAAAAGATTGAAGTTAAAGATAAAGCAGATACTATAACAAAAACAATTACAATGACTGATCCGATAGTGGGGAACAAAAAGAAATAAAACAAACGATAGAAACTGGTGAAAGGTCAATTATTATCGATTATGATTCAAAGGATTATTATTCGATAATGTTAATGCTTGAATATTAAATAGCCTTAACAAAGAATTTTTCAAGTGATATTTTATATTCATCAACTATTTTATTATAAATATCATTATATGTTAAATGAAGTTCAGTTGTTGTTCCGTTCTTTGATATCTTAATTGTGCTAATATCCTTTATAGGATTTATTTTTGCAACTGTTCCGCAGCATGAAACCTCATCATCTATGAAAAATTGAATCTTCACGTCTGAATCTTGAACATCACAAAGAATGGCGATAATGTGAATTAATGATTCATAAGGTAAAATAATTAAACCGGATTGGTCAATTAAATTTATTATTGAATCATAATTATCAGTTATGATATCGCGATATATTTTCATTAATTCAGAATTAATGTCTATTTTATATGGGTTATCAAGTGGTGCTGGGTATGTTGGATAAGTGGGAATTTCAACAGGTTCTTTACCTGGTTCAGCTAAAATGATTGGGTCTCCATCTTCTTTATTTTGCTCCTCCTCTTTTTCGGTAAGTCACGAGTTAATAAATTTGGTTGAGTTGCTGACCTTGTTAATTCAGGACTAACATTAACTTTAACATTTTGAATAATTCGTGATTTATCATCATTTACATTATAACCAACCGTAATCTCTGCTTTTGCGTTTGTGTTCTTTTGACTTGTGAAACGTCTTCTCATTTATAATTGAATAAAAAAAAGAAAAATATATTTAAAGTTTTATTTAGTTGTTACGGTAATATCCCAAGGTTCATCCTTGTTTGCTTATACTTTCTTTGTAACTGCACCAATTATGTTATTGATAATGGTTTGAGTTTCTTCCAGTCTTATTTTATCATTTACAATATCTTTAATCATTTCATTACATGCATTCTTAAAACCATCCGATTTTTCTAATTTACGTCTATCACTTTCTTTAATTAAATCAAAGTTATAACCTTGTTGAGAATAAAGTGGTTTCTTTATCAATTCCTTGAACGCTTCTGAAAGTGAAGATGAAGAAATTCTTGCCACTTGAATTGGTTTAAATTCTGCTTTCATTGCTTCTTTCTGTTCATTGAACACTGGATCGAATAAAGCAACTTTAAAGAATTTCTTAGCTGGAATTTCAGGTCTCAAATTTGCATATTGACCATCAAACTGATTAACATATCGTGGTAATCCATCCGGTCCCTCTTCAATAGCGTTTAATTCTTCATTGAAATAAGAATATGGATTATGACGGTATGAAAGAATTGGTCCATCTTTACTGTCTCCGATATGTTGTTTAACAGCTTTTCCATTTTCATCAAATTGCATAGGATAACGTTCATTATATGCTTTACGTTTAGGATAATCCGTCATTGTTAATTTATACCCATTTATGACTTTAATATTTCCTTGACCATCAGTAACAAAGACTTCATTTATTCCATCAGGCTTTCCATTTGGTCCTGTAATGTCTGCTTCATGTGCTTCCCAATTTGGTCCATGACGTTTGGCATATGCTTGAGCTTCTGGTAATGTTAAAACGTTTCTCATTTGTTTAACATCCTTTTGAAGACCGGCAACAATGTGGACTAATTCTTTCATTCCGTCTGGAACTTTCATAGTTCTATTATATGCACCCTTTTTGTTTGTTCCTTGTTTTAATGGAACCTGTAGAAGATTTGCAATTTCTGTCATGTTTAATTATAAATAAAAAATAAAAATTAATTATAAAAAAGTTATTCGAATTTAATGGAACCTTTATTTAAATCAACTATTATTTTTCCATGTTCTCCTAATTGTTGATATTGTGTGTAAAGTTCATTAATGCTCATTGGTAAATTCACTTGATAAAGCATAACGTTCAACTGTTGACGACTAAAACCACTGAAAATGAAAAGGGTGGACAGGTTTGATTTAATGTTTGTGCTTAATGCTTTAAAGTATTGAACAGCCATAAAGAATGAACACTGAATGTGTCGACATTGAGTTAATAATTGATTAAAATATGATTTCTCATTAGTTATTAGTTTTGATTTCACGGCATCATCTAGAAAAATTAGTGAATGCAAAAATTCTTTATCAAAATTTGAAATAGAAAGTGTTTCAAATAATTCATCCCTTTGTTTATCAATAATTTTATCCTCTAATCCTTGCTTCTTGATTGTATTATATAACTCTTTATACATTAAAAAGTTTTTTAAATAATCTTCTGCTTCTTCTTGTGATAAATAAATAATTGGAATTTTTATTAAATGCTTTAATGATTCAAATGTATCATCTGAAGGTGAACCTGAACGGTTGATATAAATTAACACATGAGAATAAGGTGAAGTGTTAGCAATAATGATAATTTGTTTTAATATCGTTAATGTTTTACCTTTATTTTGTTTACCAATTGCTGCAGTGATTGAATTTAAGTAACATTCAGAATATGGAATTTTCATTAATTTTTCCTTAGATAGAGCATTTCTATTATCACTCAATGCTTCATTAATCATATCATCTACGTATGTATTATATACTCCTGCTAATTCTTCATAATATGAATTTAAATCCATTTAATCAAAAATAAATTTATAATTTTAAACATTTCTATTCATCAATATTTCATCATATGAACTTCTATACTGTGGTGGTGTACCTGTTGGATGATATTTCAAACCTTCATCCGGTGTCCATGTCCAATATGTAGTCCTAGTAAACCAAACCTGAGGAGGATTTGTCACCTTTGAACAGTAAGTGTCATTTTCACCCTGAATGATTGGATAAGCTTTCACTTGTACTGTAACTTGTGAGTTGAAAGTTTCTAATCCATCAAAGAATATACCCGCTCCATCACGTTGAACTGGAATAGTGCATAAGAATGAAGTTTGGTCTTTCCATGTTCTAGCTAATGGCGTGCCATTATCATCATTTAGTGGTCTAGTTAATGAGTCCTCGTATTCTTCTGTGCATTCATTCACTCCATCTAAATCGGAAGCTTGAAGCATACGTGTAAAGAATATGTCGCCCACTGTGGTCATCGCTTGATCGGGGAAGTTTCTGGAATCTATAGTGACCTGGAGACCTCGAAGCATTGGATTTTCTAAAACTGTTCTTTGCATTGCATTCTTCGGAAATGTTAACACAACATCTGTAACATTATGAAGAGCGTATGAGAAATCAGAACTGATACCTTCAGGAGTGATGCAACCTCCATTTAGTGAACGAACGTCAATATGTTGAGCTGGAATCATGAATGGATCTTCCTTACTGAATAAACGTGGTATTGCTTTAACTGATTCTTCAATTAAACCATATCCTGGTGTAATACATTTATCCTCTAAAACTTCCATCTTTGTGCATGAAATAATAACGTCTTCAACTGTTGCGTCAGCAGATGTAGCGGCTAAGCTTGTAATTAATTTTGCAGGAAGTCCGATTTGTTGGAATTTGCGATCGTATTTATAAACATGATTCATAATCTTTTCATAATTTTCATCAGTTATCTTTTCATAAACGTAATTTTGTAAATCAGCAACTCTTAACGGGTCAACCTGACAAAATACCAAAGTATCCCTGAAAACATAATATTTAAGAATGATTTCACCAAATGATTTAGGATAATCATCGAACGCCTGAAATGCTAACAAATCATTTACCGGAATAATCATATCAAAAGTGACATCAACTTCTTCATTTGCTCTCTTGAAAACTTCTGAAGGGTCAATATATTTACCACATACTGAGTTATCATATTTTTGGACATTGTTATATAATGAATGAACAAACTTTTTAACTTTCCTTTCTGATTTTGGTTTATATGTTGCAAATGCGAAAGATTCACGGGCGCAATCCATCTGAAGATAACCGGCATCACCTCTTTCGGTTTCTACTTCTAATTGTTAAAGCTTTGATTTGATGATTTGTAACCAACGAATAAACGCATGCATTTAAAAGCGGCATCACATGTGAAAGCTTTATTTGAAACTAGAGTTGCTTTAACTTTGCGTTTAATATATGTGTCACCTAATTGGTTCACATCATGAGCCGGATTTGTAATTCTTAAATGAGTTTGTTTATCATCAAAATATGGAGTATCAGAGTCATAGCATGAACTTTCAAGTTCTCTATAATATCTTCTACCATCATTCTTTGCGAATATTTCATTTATCTTTTCGAATGAATGAAATACATTTCCATTAATCGGTTTAGTGTTTGGCACTAAATAGTTAGTCGTCATTTATGATGAAATAAAAAAATCAAAATTAAAAGATGAAAATGAATTTTTAATTTTAATGAAATAATCAACTATGGCTGCAGGATTCTTTAAAAAGTTATGGGATAAAGTAAAAAGAGGAGCGCATAAAGTTTGGGAAACAATGAAGAAGGGAGCAAATTGGATATTTAAGAATAAAGAAGCAATTAGTGACGTTGCAGAACAAATAGCACCTAATGTTCCGGTAAGGGAAGTATTAAATAAAGGAGATAAAGTTTATCGTCGACTACAACCGATATTGAGATAAAAATAATATTTATTTTTCCACTACTTTCCTCCTATTTTATTAAGTATTCCTTCAGCAATTCCACCAACTGCGTTACCTGCTTGTGCTCCCATCGCTGGATTACCTGCTTTAGCACCTAATACTCCACCTATGATAGTTCCTGCCGTTTTCGCTACTGGTGCCAAAAAGTTTGCAATGGGTTTTATTATTTTCTGATGAACCCAACTTGCAGCTTTCTTAATTCCTTCCCATAACTTTTTAAAGAATCCTGCAGCCATTTCTGATTTAATATTAATTAAAAAATATATTTCATCACTTATATTCTAATTTTTATTTAATGATAAATGAAACCAATTTTAAAAATAAATGAAACAGAGGACGAAGAAATAAATGAAAGTGAAGATGTTCAACAAAAAATAAACGTTGTTAAACCAATTACTGAAATAAAAATTTTTTCATCTGTTGAAGAATTTAATGACTATTATGCTAACAATAAAAAATTATTTGAAGAATTGACAACATGTAAATTGAATAAAATGTTTAAAGTTGATGGATTCAAAATTTCAAAAATAAAAGGAGTGATTAGTTTGAAATCTATTCCTCAATCAAGAATCACCTCATTAATGAAAATAGATGATTTAACAAAAAGAATAGAAATTATTGAAGAAAGAATGAATCAAATAATTGATTTCATAAATCATGACTCGTTGAGCCCGGGTCCTTAAAGTCCAAGGCACAAAGTGCCCAGGACTTAAAGTCCAAGACACAAAAGTGCCCAGGACTTAAAGTCCATCACTGAGTTCAAGGTTATATTCATCAAATATTTCATTATTAAATGCAACTTCTGCTAGTTTATTTATTTTTTCAATACGATCATTTGAAAGTCTATCGTTTAATTTTTTCTGAAGTTTTTCATTTTCTAGTTCTGAAACTTTATTTGGATGATATGTAAATTCATGAAATTCTTTTTCCTCAGTTTTGATCATTAATTTACAAAGAACTTTTGTGGTTGGAATTCGTTTGAACCATTTATCCTTAATATTTGTTATAAATTCAATATCTGGAATTAATTCCCAAATTTTTGCATTTTCAATTAATTTATTATCAAATGCAAAAGCAATGGGTTTAATATTATGTTTACCTTTATAATATAAACTTTCTATATAATCATCGAAATAAACATCTACTTGTTTAACATTTTCAAGAATTGGTGAAAGAGCATCCATTAATTGATTGACGGTTACGAATCTTGATCCACTCATTTTCTTACGAATTAAAAAAATAAATTATTCATAAATGTCAGAAGAAAATATTTAAATAAATTATTTAAATTTTTTTACTCTATTCAAGAATTTTATTTTTGATATAACTCATTGAATTCAAAATTTTTTTAAAAAATTGACACCATATTTGGAATCTATGCAAAAATATATTCTTTTTATTAATGGTAATATAGGAATTGTAGGAATAAAAATTTTTTATAAATTATTCATAAATTTTTAAAATCTGCTATTCAGAAGTATGTTCAAAAATCATTCAATTATGTGAGAATTCTTACGATTACAAAAAAAGTCACACAACCCGTCCTCATATACTACTAACAAAATATGAAAATCAAACTTTTTTTAAAGAACATTATATACTTCCCTTGGATGAAAAAGAAGTTTAGCTGAGGTTAATTCAAGAGGAAGAGTTGCAACCAATGAAATCGCCAAATTATCAGACTATTAAACTTAATAGAGACGACTCGGATTTGCTGTTTTATGATAAAACAAGTCATGAACCTGAAAAACAACAAATCTTGTTTTTCTTGAAATTAAGATATTTTTGCAACATGTAGAAACATTTATCAAATCAGCAGCTATTACTAATAAAGATGTTCAACATACTAAGGGTGAAATTACTAAAACTGAACAAATTTTATTCTGATGGAAGAACTTGACATTGAAGTCATAATATTTTTGATAGAAAATGTTTTTTATTTCATTATGTGATGTGATAAACCTGCATCTCTAATATAGAATGAAGAATGATAAAGTTTTTTGATGATTTTTCAAAACCTTACTTATTCATCAAGTAAAAATGTGGTTCAGTTAATAAAATGCTCTAAAACAAATGCCTTTATTTCTAATATCCGTAAATTAAGAGGTGATTAATTTTCTAATGGAGTTTCATTCTCATCTTCTAAATCTGGCTGAAGGTTTATGTCAACAGCAGATGTCTCTTTAGAAAGAAGTGAAGATTGATCAGTTTCTTGAGAATTATATTGCGGTTCATAACAAATCTGAAGGAGAGCAAGCATGTACGATATCATAAATATGTGTGCTGCACCAAATGTCAATGTGCGATGTAGAGGCATCTCGACTACATATGGAAGAGAAATATAAAAAAGGAAAGAGAGCAGTTCAAGAGTGCACATAAAGATAAGACGTCTAGTGTATCCATTATCATATCGAAGAAATGCCATTATTGTTATAAATACGGAAATTCCAACATATATATAATTCAAAACATTCAATATATTGACAAGGATGAAACTTTTCGATGTTATAGAAAATGTAAGAGCTAATTCAGTGATTGAATAAATCGAAAAGAGAATGATAAAAAATACGTTGTATTTCATTGTAGGAGTTTGTTTGCATTCTGCCTCAAGCTGTATCTCTGTTAATACTACGTAGCGGAAAAATGAAACCATGATCGCTGCAAAGAATACTTGAGGAACATCCATAATTTTTGAATTGAAAAACATATTAAATGGAAAAGATGCAAGACATGATAATATTCCAAGAACTATAGTAGATCCTTGCGTAAATAGTTCAATACCGGGAACTAAACCCATAATGTAATTATGGGTGAGATAAACCGATGTTAGAATGATTAATAGTCTCAACCCAACAATAAATGCCGGTTTTTCTGATGTAACATACTGCCAATAAACGTATAATCCGTTGATATTTTCGAAATCAGAGTTTATAATCATGTGTACATTAGCTAAATCGAATGTTGAGTTAACTAATACGTTTGATACGAATACTCTATCGGATGTATCGCTATCACTGAACTTGAACTCATCCATTAATGTGGGTGTTCGATAGAATCCGGTAGTGGAATTCTTTTTAAAGCCAGTAACATCTACTGTATAATTTAATGGTCTTTGTGAAATTCCTTTTGCCTTAGAATTTAGCTTTTCTGCAATCCAAATTTTTACATAGTGATGAAAATCTGAAAAATGATCAATATTTAGATCGACATGCAAGGTATAGTAATGATATGACTTGTTGCATGGATGAAACGTTCTGAAGAATGATTTGATCTGAATAATATAAACCCAATTAAACAGCCAGAAAAGATTATAACAAAAGTCAATGACACTTGATCAATTAAAAAAGGAGAATTAATCTCTTGAGATTCGAATGCAACTTCTAAGGTTGGATTGTTGCTCGATTCTTCCTCAGATCGCATGCATACAATAAATTCATAAGGTTTGAATTTTCATGAAAAAGTTGATAGGACAAAATTTTCTGAAGAAGCCAAAAATTTATCATAATATTAGCAAAGTTTAAAAAAATTACAAAAATAAATGATTGAAAAATTTTGAGTCGTATACTTGAATAATGGTCATTAATATACATTGTATAATTTTGTTGGAATTCAATTAATTTATTATGGCCGAGTATTCTATGAATTAATTCGAAATTTCTCGTAAATTATCAAGTTGTTTATGTATCTTGGCATAATTAAAAAATAAATGGATGAAAAGCGTTGAAAAATATTCAATTTTTCAGAAGATTCTTGAAAAGTTCAAAAATCAAAAACAAAAACAAATTCAAATATTGCGTCTTCAACATTTGAAATTTGTTTTTTAAATTTTTCAGAAAATGTGCATTTCGTTTATTTGGAATTTTAATACGTTAAATGATTAATTAGTTTAAATGGATTTTAATTTAAATGAAGGATTTTTCATAACAATCTGAAAAAAAAATCAAAAGGATATTTCTTCCGGCAAACCCAAATTTTAGCTAAAAGTGACAGAAAAAAAACGTTTAGTATTAAAAAAAAGACCGATGAGAGCTTCGTTCGAAATATAGAGGGAACTGAGAATGCGCAACCATTCTCAGGGAATATTGGATGCTATTCCCGTTCCCTCTGTATGGAAAATTGAGGTTTTCAAAGGGAGTTAAAATAATATCAAATTTATACTAATTTACTTCAAAATACAAAAGTATTTGACAGCTAAAATTAGTTACTTTAGCAAGCCTATCAATACCCTTTTACGATTATTGTTACTTTTTCGAAATAAAATAAATTTATTATCAAAAACCTTTTTTTTCTTAGTAAAAATAAACGAAATTTTTTACTTTATGAACTTTTGATGGAAATATGCAAATTTAAAATAATAAAGAAAGCCGCGAGCGAAGCGATCGGCTTAGTTCGAAGATTTTGATTCAAATCTTTGCTGATCTGTAATTCGCGGAAGCCGCGAGCGAATCGAGCGGCTTAGGTCTAAGATTTTGATTCAAATCTTTGCTTATATTCCTTAAATTCTTTATGAAACTCGCAACAGTTCCATAAAAAATTTTAAATTCTAAACTGTCGAAATTACCGATCGGTAATCACACCCTTCACGGGTGTGTCACTTTTAGCTAAAATTACCCTTACTCCTGGAATTTCAAAATCTTGTGGATTTCTCATATTTGGACAACATTCATAGTATCGTTCTTTTTAACCGATAAATGTTTATTGTTGGGATTGAATATCAATTTTTCACTGTTTAAAAAAATTGATTATAATTTCTCCTATTTTAAGGGTGCCCTATAACGATAATGTAAACATCACAAAATTAATTTTATTAGAACTCGAATGAATGGATTATCCAGATTCTAGTTCTCAATATAATAGCCTTAAAAGTGCTTTTCTGAGGGTGGTCTATCGTCTATAGGGCACCCTTAAAGACTTAAGATTTTGTTTTTAAAAAATTAAGAAATCCTTATTAGTAAATCTCGAATACTATTGATCGGTGCGAAATTTAAATATTCTATTAAGAGTTTCCGACTAAGTTACTCTCATCGATAATTACTTTTAAAGTGCTACTTAGGATATGGAACTATATTGTATCGACAAAGTTAGTATGGGTTAGTTGGGTACGGCGGCACTGCGCGCCTCCTTACCCATGATATGTGAATTTGACACTTTACGAAACCGTTAACGTATATTTTACAAATCAAACGCAAAAACTAACTTAACCTTAAATATTTACAAAACCACCAAACATTTCACCTCACTAACGAACTCACTAATGAAAAAATAAACGTTCTCATAAATTTTCTTCTATATCTTCATCGTCAATGTTAACTCTATTGTAGTCATACTTGAAGTCATAAAGTTTCTCAAGTTTTGAAATGCATAGTCTTGTTAACTTACCTTCATCATCATAAGTTTTTATAAAACTACCATGACAATCTTTATACACAGTCAATGTATAATCTACTGGTCTAGGATGAAGTGTAAAGAACATGTTATACTCAGGAAGGAAGAATAAATGTTTAAATGTATGTTTGTTATATTTTTCGATTTGTATGAGTTGCTTTTGTTCTGTCATTTATATAAAAATAAACTTAAAATTAATGATATCACCACCCTCACACGTATGAAAACATAGCACAAAAATAAATTTAGGTGAAGTGGTGAGATCTCACCTCTTTTTTCACTTGTTTTTTCACCTGTTTTTTCACCCTGTTGAATTCATTGCTTTATAACTCTCTTCCTTTCTCCAACTCTTCTAACTTCTTCCTAAGTTTAGCAATGTTGTCCTCATGAAGTTTAATCTTTCTCAAAATTCCTTCTTTATCTAATGGTTGCTTTATCTTTCTAAACTGAACTCTACCATCCTTCATAGTATGAATGTAAAAACCTTCTGGAATAGTTCCTGATTTAATGTATTCTACCAAAAACTTTTGTTTCATTGCTTCAGTGACTTTATTTGTCATTTCAATCAAATAAAAATTTTAATATTAAATAAAAATAACGTTATTTTTTCAGTAAGGAAACGCAGGAGTTTTACGATTTATTTGAGGAGTAGGTTCTGGTTTAAATGTTGGAGTCGGTTTAGGAGTTGACTTTTGAACAGGAGTTTGTACTTCCATAGGTTCAGGAGTCATTGAAGGTTTTGCTTGTGAAGGCGTTGGTTTTGACGTTGGTTTTGGTGAAGGTGTTGGAGTTTGTTTAACTTCAGCTACTTCAGTATTATTTACAACATTTGCTTTATTTCTTTTCAACATCATAACTGCTCCTGCTGTAGCTAGCAAACCTAGTGGGAGACCATATCTTATATAAGGACTTGACCAAATGCTATTTTTGACAGGAGCTGGTGGAACACCTAACCTTGGTGAGACTGCTCTTTGCCATTGTGCAGCTCGTAAGAAATATTCAATAGGTGCTCCATAATCGTTTGGTAAAGTTTGTTTCATAGATGGTGAAGGTTCACGAGAGCTTGATGAAGAACTCATTTATAAGCTTTAAAAATAAACGTTCATCCTTTATTCCTCACCGTCGTCCGTAGCTAAGTTATAGTCATCTAATCTTATTATTGTGTTGTAAGACGAGTTACGGAAAGTGAGGTGAACTGAAAAAGTGACAGTTATTTGGTCGGATAAATTCCCTATATATTTACTTGTCAAAAAAAATCAGACTTTTTTTGCTTTAAAAAATTTATAAGTTAATTATTGAGAACGAAGGTGAAAGGAAATGGATATCTCTTACCTTTCATTCCCTCGAGAAAGTTCAAAAACTTGGGTGCAATCAGTTCTGATTGCACCCAAGTTTTTGAACTTTGTATAAGGAATTGTTGGCTATGATGTACTGATCATGAATCAGTACATCATAGCCAACAATTCCTTCGCAAACAGCGGGAAACTTTGTCTGAATAGTTTAACATTCAGACAAAGTTTCCCGCTGTCAGAGAGGGAATGGAAGGGTAAGAGGTATATATTCATAATGTATACCTCTTACCCTTTCATTCCCTCGAGAAAGTTCAAAAACTTGGGTGCAATCAGTTCTGATTGCACCCAAGTTTTTGAACTTTGTATAAGGAATTGTTGGCTATGATGTACTGATCATGAACCAGTACATCATAGCCAACAATTCCTTCGCAAACAGCGGGAAACTTTGTCCGAATAGTTTAACATTCAGACAAAATAATTTAAAATAATGAAAAAGTTGATTTGTGAATCATTGAAATATTAATGCTGTTATATATATATATCAGATGATATAAGATGATTTTTTTAAATAAAAAATAAAATTTAATTTTTTAATTGTTAAAATAAGAATAGTAAGCTTGACAAGTAATTTAAGTTTTTGCTTTGTAAAGTTATTTGGTTGGCAAATGCATTGTGTCACTTTTTGTTTGAGTTCACTTTCCGTAATTTGTCTTATGATAATTGGGATTCCATTAGCACGCACCTGAATGGCAAAGCAACAATCCCTCATAAATCCAATAAGTGGCTTTGGTACATTTTCAGTTGCTAGTTCAATAGGTCCTTTAACAGACAATTTGTATGTTATTGGAGCAGTAGATGTTTGACCTTGCTGGAAGCAAAAGTCCACTTCTGTTGGAAAACCACATAAGAAATGTGTGTTGTCATAGCTATCCCATTTATGTTCCACACTACCATCATCCACCAATGACCTCATAACATCTTCATTAAATCTTATCATATCATTGTTTGTATTGCAAGCGTTCGCAACCATTTCATAAAATACAGGTCCATATGATTTTTCAGGTTCTGCAGGCATATTTCCATAAGCTCCCATGGAAAGCTGAAGATATTTAAACTTAGGGTTCTCAAAATTAACATAATAGTTGTCTTTCTTTCTAAATAGTGCCCAAATACTTTTAACATTAATAGGCGTATAAGCTGCTGTAAATGTTGCACTTGAACTATCTGTATTCTTTGAGAATGAACCGTCCATAGGAATCCAATCCATAACTTTAACAGGAAAACATAAAGCCACGTTTGTATAATGTTCTACAAGTTCTGTATAAATGTTAGGGTCTAAAGAGAATGACTTTGGATG